ATAACGTTGTTCCAGGAAGATGGAACACCGTGTCACACTGCTAGAAACACCCAAAAGTGGCAGGAAGAAAATGGTATCCAGAAGTTGCCCTGGCCGAGCCAGTCTCCTGACATGAACCCTATCGAAAACCTCTGGGCCATACTCGACCGACAAGTCAAGAAACAACAACAACAAAAAATCAACTTCGAAAAGCGATCTACGCCAAGTTTTGAAGCATGAGTGGGCGAAAATCCCACAATCTAAAATTGATGAGATGATTCTCACGATGACCCGAAGGATCAACGAACTCCACGAAGAGAGAGGAAGATCTACTATATATTAATTAAATTATAAATATATCAATTCATGTGAATATGACTGAAAAATTTCATTTTTTCTGAAAGGTGGTGTCTATTCACTTGTGACCACGCTGTGTATAGTCTCATAATACATCCTTCGTTTTTAGCGGAGAAAAGAAAAAGTTATTAGATCTTTCTAAATTCAGTAATTTCCTAAGCATAATAACATGAACAACATGCATATTTTTATGCTTATACGTGAATCAAATTCTTACAAGCTATTTAAAATTGTTAACTGTAAATAGATATACTTCAAATGTGACTTCAAACAAAGATCTTGGAAATTACTTAATTAAAACGGTCTCAAATCATAGCCCTGATCTAAATGATTTCTTCAAAACATATTCTCAATGGTAAAATATAGATAGATATTTCCTGAAAGTAGAAGTATTTTGCTTAATGTTCATTTCTTAACTTATTCTGTTAGAAAACTTACTTTTCAATATGCATTGCTGAAAACTGAGAATAATAAAAGAGAATATTCATTAAAACACGTTTTAAACGAATAATAGTGTGGTATTCCAAGGTACACTTGGTTTACAGATAAGTGTTGGGTACAACAGTACAGGAGGTTCAAAGGATTTGTTTGTTTTTGAATTTCCCACAAAGCTACACGAGGGTTATCTGCGCTAGCCGTCCCTAATTTAGCAGTGTAAGCCAACTCTTAGGCTATTCTTTTACCAACGAATAGTGGGATTGACCGTCACATTATAACGCCCCCACACCTGAAAGGGCGAGCATGTTTGGTGGGAAGAGAATTCGAACCCGCGACCCTCAGACTGCGAGTCGAGCGTCTTATCCACCTGGCCATGCCTGGCCAGGTTCAAAGGAAATGCTTACAAAATAATAAACTTAGCCACTTAGTTACAGCAGTGACTCTGTGGCTGTTAATAGATTAGTATAGGACGACTACACAACGAACAGAAACAATTCTGATTATATCAAACTTTAGTTAGTATTCCACAGTCGTATATCAGGGATCATTCTGTTTATTCAAAATTACTAGTTCGTTCTAACTTGTACAAATCCCAGCACCACCACCACTTCACTTGAATATATATGGCTCACACACACCCTTGCGGTGAGCATAAGCTCTCTTGAATGATCACCGCGTGGTATGTAACTTTGGTCTGAGTCGATTGCTCCTGTAAGCTCCAATTTACATCATGAGTGCAAAAAGTATTCTAAATGTATTATTGAACACACTTATATAAATATATATCCAATTTTTAAGTTAGATAAAAATAAAACCTGTCAGTTTCAAACTGCCTCGCTAGTAATTTCTGCACTTATATTCTTATCATTTTCTTTGCATATAAGCCTTATAAATCGTTTAGTGCCGTGTATTAGAACATTTCTGTATAGCACATCTAGTAATCTTTTTACATCAACAACAATGACTCGGAATTTTTTCTTTTCTTTTACAGAGTTAACTTCGACATCTATATTGTGCAGCAGTATTATATATTTACTTTCATCTTATAAAATATTTTTTAAGAAAGCTTGGCTCTTCATCTGCTACTTCAGTAATGACTAACTGCTCTAACATATGAGCTACAGGGCATTAGGCTTTTAAACGTAGAAGATATGCTTATACCTCCTCTCTTTCTTTAAACACGGATGAGAAGGTCCATATACACCTCTAAAAACACAAAAGATGAAGTTCATAATGTAACTAAAACGATTTGGTATGCAGAATAGTTGAACCTTGGTTTTTCAAAATTTCATTCACGTGCATTTTTGAATTTTTTTAAACTTTAGAACACACGCATCTATACAATTGTAGAGATATGTTAAGCATGATTTTGTTTATTTCTTTCGGATATATGCTAGTCATCCTTAATTTTGAACTGATAGGCTAGAGGGAAGGCAGCTAGTCAACAGCACCTACTGTCATCTTTTAGGCTATTCTAATCAAATAGTGGGAATTGACCGTTACTCTTATAACGCACAAAGTGCGGATCGAGATTTTGTAGCAATGAGACTTGAACTATTGACTCTAGATTGTACTTGTTTGAACTTACTTGTCATTCCATTTTCCCGTCCACTCAATGCTGTTTCCCCAAGGATTCCTAATTCTCACCAACAAAGCATCGTCTCCAGAGGTTAACAGAATCTGTCCAAACAAAATTATTTTTGTTAAAACACAGAGAAAACCTCTAACTTTATTTTTTGTCATTGATAAAATAAGCAGTAAGTGACAGATCCTTGCTGGAAAGCCTGTTAGATGTAGAAATAACAAACACCACAAGTATGTTTTCAAAACTTCTGTGAATAACATTAATAGTGGATTTTGGAATACGTTTCACAGATAAGAATTCAGTACATTCTTTGAAGTCGTAAAATTCTTCCACGCTAGCTTAAAAATTAGCGATTCTAACTCTGAAAATATATTCATGCAAAATTTACTTTTCAGGCAGTCCTTACATGCGTTAAGAAAATTATATCTGATTAACAGTATATCGCTAAATAAATGGTAAATATATTTTATATGTACAACTAATGTATCGCCCTAGCCCAAAAATATACACACATAGAAAATGAACATAATAATACAAATCTTGATCAGATTATAACAAGTTACATGGACTTTATCAGTTCCCATCCCTGTATCTCACTTCCTATTTTACGTAAACCATCAATTGTTTTACAAGTTATATATATATATATATATAACACGTTTCCATGTTGTTTGCTCCCACATCCAAGTTGATGTCAGATTCTAACTACCCTCTTAGCCAAAATGTTTGCATACTGATTGATATTGATGTTATTGCCTACATGCATGAAATAATTATTGAGTAAATGCCCGAGCTGTAACAGAGAGGGTAGCGTATGATCACATAAACATGTACGAGTTGTTATTCTAGTATGTATAAGTTATTTTGAGTATTCGTTCGTCAAAATACACAAACACACTTGTTTTGTATAAAAGGATGTGGTTTTTGGCATAATCGTTTTTCGAAACAGATCAACGCTTTGTTCAGATAATTTCTCTGTTCTTGGTGTAGAGTCACGCCTCGTCACGTGTCGGAAGTTATAGGGCGTCAAATTGTTCGACTGTCCAGAAATGGTAGGAAGCAAACGGACATTGCCAGAACAATAGGGTTTCCCCAGTGTACTGTATCCAGAATCCTGAAATGTCATCGGGACTACAGGAAACATTATTCCAGGAAAGTTACTGGTAGATGCCGAAAACTACTGCCCGAGATGAACGTGTTTTGATCAGGTTAACACCTCAAGGTCGAAAGACTTCTTTCAACACCTTACAACAAGAATGGCATGAATAAATTCATTCCAGGGTATCCACAAGAACAGTGAATAGGAGACTGACCAAACAAGGTTATTTTACAAGAAGGGCTATCTGCAAACCAATATTAACCAGAAGTCACTGCCATCACTGTGTTACTTTGGCAAGACAGTATGCTAACTTATAGTTAGGACACTAGCAACATGTCACCTTTTCAGATAAATCCTGTTTCAGGCTTCTTAAGGCTGATGGTAAGATTCGTGTTCGTAGTTTACCTGGAGAACAGATGAAAGAAAAATGTCTTTCCCACAGGGAACACATAGGAGGTGGTGCAGCATATATAGATTTGGGCAGTTATTCATCATTATGGAAACACTGCTTTTCATTTCCTCCAGGGAAATGTCAATGGTGCTTCCTATAGGCATGACATGGAGAAGATATTTCTGCCATATGCTAGAGCAAGGTTTGGCAATAACTTTGTGTTCCAGAATGACAATTCCACTACTCACAGTGTATATATTGTACAGGATTATCTCGACCAGGAGGGCGTTACAAGACTGCTATGGCCAGCAAAGTCTCCATATTGTGATCTCATTGAGAACTGTTGAGCAGAATTGAGCCAGAAAATTGCTAATCACGACTCTAAACCAACTACTTTAACTGAGTTGCAGTGCCTTCTAGTGACGAGTTGGGATGAAATCACGGTGGCTTACATCAATAACCTCATCGACAGCGTGTCACATTGTCTTGAAGACGTTATTAGAGTACAAGGAGGAACAACCAAATACTAAATGTTTAATATGAACTGATATAAGATTACAGACGCTATTTACAATAATTTGTCATTATATATGTGTTGGTAAGGTTTTTTTGTGATAGGTAAAATGCCGAATTATACATCTTTCTAAAGATTTCTGATAAAATTGTTTTATGTTCATGATATCCATAGAATCTGTCTCATTATACAAATTACATATGTAGATGTTTAATATAACATACATTTCTCAGTTTCATAGTGCTAAGCGCATTTCTATTCCATCTTAGTAAAAATGATCTTATTACTTACAAAATATGCAAACATTTTGGCCAATACTGTATATGAATCACAGGGTCGTAGGAAACGATAAGGCTAGTTAGGCCACGACCTGACCACTTTTTCATGGCATGTATAGCTACAACTTATGTATTAAACTTGCTTCTTTCAATTCAATACATTAAGTTGTGTATATGCAACACTTGTAGTTAAAACATATAAAGGTTCAATCTCATAACACTAAATTTGCAAATTTTTTTTTGGAGTTATGCTCCAAGACCCCTTTAAAACTAGCATGTTTTGCACACATCGTGGATCAAATTGTTTACCCGTGTAAATGGCCTGACCTCTCCAAAATTGCTTCCTGCGGCTATGCATCATTCTTTGTGTTATATATCATAACACATTCACGCGAAAAATTCAATCGAGGTGAAAATCTAAAGCGATTAATTATAAACCTTTCGGTAGTTTATACTGTTATTTTCCTTAGTACTAATTTTATTATAACACAGCGGGATGTCTGCGGACTTACAACGCTAGAATCCGGGTTTCGATACCCGTGGTGGGCAGAGCACAGATAGCCCATTGTGTAGCTTTGTGCTTAATTACAAACAAACAAACAAATTTTATTATAAAAATTTCAAAAAGTATTTAAACTCTTATTTAATGAATTTCATAAATGTTAGGCCAGGTGGTTATGGGGCTCGACTCGCAATCTGAGGGTCGCGGGTTCGAATCCCCGTCCGTCCAAACATGCTCGCCCTTTCAGCTGTGGGGGCGTTATAATGTGACGGTCAATCCCACTTTCGTTGGTAAAAAGAGTAGCCAAAGAGTTGGCGGTGGGTGGTGATGACTAGCTACCTTCCCTCTAGTCTTACACTGCTAAATTAGGGACGGCTAGCGCAGATAGCCCTCGTGTATCTTTGCACGACATTCAAAACAAACATAAATGTTAACCAAATAATTGTTCATGTAACAACTTCAAGTGCGTATTTACTTTACTGTCAGGAAGGAATCTGTGCTTCTACCATAACTTAGGGGTCTGACTCTGGGATAGGGTACCTTTTTATCAAACTCTAGGGGATTTTGAAGAGTTGTTGTAGTATTTACTTCTTCGCCAGTGTCGACAAACAAATGTATCACGTATGGAACAGTGCTCCTCAATAATGTGGTATGCAGTCACATCATATATTTTCTACCTGCTTTTAGTAATATTGGATTTTTTAAAACATTTCATTAATCTAGTTAGTAGAGAATTTCAACATAAACACGTGATAAAAAAAACCCAATGAAGTTTGCCTTATTATATCTCTGCAGAGAGGCACACTGTTTTATTTTTTTTTTCTTCTCCCAAACACCATTTCTTCATTTATCAGGAAATTGATTTGAAACTTGATAGGGTTATACCTTGGTCGAATACGCCCAGACATCTTTTTTCATTTTTTATAAAGGCATTTTTAAGGATTTTATGGGGTTAAAGATCAAACCACCGAAAAATGTATATTTTGGGCTCCTGTGTGGTCATACTTACAGCAATAAAGATGAAAAATTGGCAAAAGTTAGATTTTCCCATTTTGAGTCTTTTTAGAGAATCTGAGCTCAGTAAAGAAAGCATATTTTTTGGGTTTTTTTGGTCAGTTACTAGGCCACATTTTGACCAACTTACATGGGATTTTGTAAAATGATACTTTTCTAAAGTTCCCATACAATGACAAACAAAAATGGTAGACTTGTTTATTTTTGGTAATTATGGGGGGGGGGGGGTAAGACACTACAAAAAGCATAATTTTAACGTTTTTATTTACAGTTACTCAACCGTATTTTGACCAACTTCTATGGAATTTCGTACAAAGATACTTTTTACAAGTCCCATACATATCCATAGAAAACGTTAAATAAACGCATAATTTTAGGAGTTTTGGTCAGTTATCTACCTTTGCGCCCACAAATGTTGGCTTCTTTAATTAAAGTTGCTCTGTTTATTGGTTTTCTATAGCAGATAGTGTCTACTCTGCTTGAGAGAGTACTTTATGGCATACTTCATTGAAGTATTAGAGGGGTCAACAACTAAAACATCCTTTGCTGTCTAAGCAGATGATGCATGTTTGTTACATCTGGCGAATGTTATGTTAGAAAGAGTTTTCTTGTGAGTTTGAAGTATTTGAAGTAAAAGGAATGTACTTTATGTTTTCCATCCCTTCAATTAAAAAGTAATATTTTCACAACTGTGTTGTTTTTTATAGTTCCCCTGTTGGATGCAAAGAGGCACTCAAGTGAGTTACCAACCTCACTTTCTTTAAATGGTAAACTAGACTAAGTGAGGATTAAAAGCCACTTATCTGGTCTTTTACAGGAATAACAAAGATGTTTTCAATTAGTGAGCTGAGTTATTCTTACCCATGAATCAGATAAAAGTTGCAAATGGAATTGCCCCTGATCTAATAAGAGAGGTCACGTGACGCTAGTAACATGTCATATTCTCGAAGCTTCGTGAATCCTCGGGAGGTTACTAGACTTCGGTATTCTTTTATATATAAGACGGTCAAGACGTGACGGCAACAATGTAATGCTGTGTAATTGAACTGCGGACAGAGAGAGAGAATATTGTTAAGTCGAGCACGTGAGACGTTCGTTGTGAATTATAGCGTTTGTTATACCGCGACTGTGGAAATTAAGTGTATTGCAAAGTTGTATTCAGGAAGAATAAACCAGTTTTATCTAAGAAAGGACTTGTATCTGTAAAGTTTCTTCGGAAATAATTTTTACGGAAAATTAACTAACGACCGGAGGCGTAACAGAACCAATCACTGCTTTCTTGTATCAGAAACACGAG